CAAGGTGATGTGTTTGTCAGAGGCCTTTAAAGAGGCTGCATTGCAGTTGAAAGCACTGTTTATAACTTATGGGCTTAGTTTGAGAATTATTGATCTACAATAAAGAGATAGGCATAAAAAAAAAACAACTAGAAGTCAGGCCTAGTGGCCTGTAATTCCCGCACTCGGGGAGGCCGAGGCAGGAGGGTTGCCATGAGGTCAACCTGGGTTCACTGAGTTTGATTCCTGGTACCAAAACCTGGGTTCACTGAGTTTGATTCCTGGGTTCAGGTTGACCTCACTATAGTGAGTTCATGGCCAGCCTGAACTATATAGTGAGACTCTGTCTCAAAGAATCAAACAAACAAACAAAAGAAGCCACCACAACACAAACATCTAGAGTGAAAATGGATAGTCACTAAAAGAAACAAGGGCATAAGCGACAGAACCTGGTATGTGATGCTGCCATAATGAGTCTGAAAGTTTTATTGCTCACTTAAATTGTTTTATTTTGTTTTTCTAGTTGCTGCTAAAGATCAAGCCAGTGGCCGCCAATTCAGCAGCCAGGTAGGGGGAGCTGCCTTTTGTGTTCTGGCATCACTAAGGCTTTGGCACCTGCATAGGGTGGTTCTGTCGTTACTGTTATGGCAGAAGTCTTTTCTTTCTAGGTAGATAGGCAACTCCTTGAGGTGGCAGGGATCATCTTAGATTTCCTGGTGCTCTTTCAGGGTCCAACATACTGACAAAGATCTGCTTGATAAATAATTGTATGATTTGCAGGGCATAGTGGCACATGCCTGTAATCCCAGCACTTGGGAGCCTAGCCTGGGCTAGAAAGTGAGCTCAGGGCCAGCCTGAACTGCATATTGAGACCCGTCCCAAGCACAGGCACACACACAAAATTGTACGAGTTTTCATTTTTGTTTTTTTAGTCTCAGAAACCCATGAACTCTGCTCAGCTACAAGTAGTTATACTTTCATTAGAGCCAGAAGATGACTCCTAGAATTTCTTTCCGTAGTAGAGTCTTGGTCCAAACTCAGTAGTGAATAGGGAATAAAACCTTATCTCTGGTCAGCAAAGCGTTTCTTTTCCCTGTGAACAAGAGATGATGGCAGCTGGGGACAGCAGGATGGTGGGAAAGTACAACTAACATATTCTAAGAGCAGAGTCCAGTTCTGATCTATTTTTTTTTTTTTCCTGATCTATTTTATATTGGGTTTTGTTTTCCTTTTTGTTTTCTTTCAGTGCTGGAGATTGAACCCAGGGCCATGTGCATCCTCTACCGTGGAGCTACAGCTCTAGCCTGGGCTTTGCCATTAATAAATTTTCCTAAACTTTAGTGGTTAGAATACCAATTTCATAATTATTATTGTTTTATTATTTGCAGAATATTTTTCTAAAAAATTATGGGTTTTTTTGTCTTTTGTTTGTTTGTTTGTTTTTTGTTTTTGGTTTTTCTGTAGTACCGGCAATCGAACTCACGACCTTGCACTTGCCAGGCAGGCACTGTGCCACTGAGCTAGACCTCAAGCCCCTTTTTTTGGTCTTTTTGACACAGGGTTTCACTGTGCTGGCCTTGAGCTCACTTTGTAGTCCAGGCTTATCTCAAACTCTCAATGATTCTCTGGTCTCAGCCTCCTGAGTGCCTGGATTACAGGCATGCCCCACGACACCCAGCTTTCTTTTTTCTTAAATTGTACAATGTACATAACATTGTACTAAATCATTATTAGTACAATGTTATATATTGTGCACATTAAAATGAAATCACAACCATTAAAATAATGGTCACCTACAGATCACCATGTGAAATGCTCTCATAGTCTGCCGTGTGAGAAATTCTCCCTGAGAAAGATCAATGGGAGTTAGTGAATGGCCATCATATGACTTAAGTCTTGCTATATTCCTTTGTTCTAATAACAAATCTTAGGAGTAATTGAGGTTAAAACTTGCTTTTGTTTCCTCCATAGGTCTCCATTTTGTCAGCGATGGAGCTAATTTGGAACCTGTGTGAAATCCTTTTTATTGAAGTAGCCCCAGGTGAGCCTGGGATAATCTCGTTACAACATTTAAGGGGTCTTTGGTATCCACTGCTCTTGTATTTCCTTGCTAACAGTGTTTTTAGATAGGGTCTCACTAAGTTGCACAGGCTGTGCTTTGACCTATGATCCCTTGCCTCAGCCTCCCAGTGTGCTGCGTTTATAGGCATGAACCATCTTGCTTGACCCTGCCAACTTTTTCCCATGTCTTGTAATGATTTATGTTTGCAGTTACCCATAAGTGAGCATTAACGTCTGTGCAGCATAGCATTTCATTTATATTCCTACTGGAGCACTGAGAGTTGACATTAAAATGAGTTGTTTGGACACTTACTTTTTTTTTTTTTTTTTTGTCTTTTTGAAACAGGGTCTCTCTATGCAGTTCAGGCTGGCCTTGAGCTCACTTTGTAGTCCAGGTTGGTCTAGAACTCACAAGGATCCTCCTGCCTCAGCCTCCCAAGTGCTGGGATTACAGGTCTGAGGATGGTAGCCAGAGTCTCTACTGCTGAGCTGTATTTCTAGTTTTGTTTTTTTTTTAAATTCTGACAGTGTGGACAGGGTCTCACTATGAAGTTGAGATTGGCCTTGAGCTCAGTTTGTAGTCAAGGCTGGTCTTGAACTCCCAGCAATCCTCCTGCCTCAGCCTACCCAGTGCTGGGATTACAGGCGTGTGCCACCATGCCCGGCTCTTGCCAGTAGATTTTGAGGAGACGGTGTATTTTTGTCATTATTGTTTGTGCTGCACCTAGTGGTGGAAGTCCTGAAATTGCCATTACATGCAAAGGCATTACATACTCGTGAAAATTCGGGCTGTGTTAAGTGGCGAGGTCAGAGTCCTGGGCCAGCCCTGTCTAGGATTCAGTGAAAAATGGAGCTGCTTGGCCCAGAGCAAGGATTCTGTACAAGTCTATTTTGTGTTTTCCTAGCCTAGTTCTGTTTGTTTTGTTTTGTTTTTGGTACTAGAAAATGTACCCAGGTCTCTGTGCACTTCAGGCTGGCCTTGAGCTCACTCTGTAGCCCAGGCTGGTCTTGAACTTGCAAAGATCCACCTGCTTCAGCCTCCCAAGTGCTGGGATTACAGGCATGCACCACCACGCCTGGCTTATGTATTTATTTTTGTCTTTTTTTTAAAATCTTTTTGAGACAGGGTCTTGCTGTGCAGTTCAGGCGGGCCTTGAGCTCACTTTGTAGCCCAGGCTGGTCTCGAACTTGCAACAATCCTCCTGCCTCAGCCTCCCGAGGGCTGGGATTATAGGCATGTGCCACCACGCCCAGATATTTATTTATTGTTGAGACAGGTTCTTGTTAGGTGATTCAGGCTGGTCTCAGACTTGTGGCGAGCCTCCTACCTCAGCCTCCCAAGTGCTGACATTACAGTCCTGTGCCACCACACCTGCCTTATTTTTTATTTTGAGTCACGTTCTCACTAAAGTTGCCCGGTCCACATTGAGCTTAAATTTGTGATTCTTCTGCCTCAGCCTCTCAGAGTGTTGGGATTACTGGCATGTGCCACTATACCTGGCTCATGTATGCATACCTGCCTTGAGAGGAATAAGCCCCTGCCCATGAGGCCAGCTTGTCTGTTTTAACATTCTGTGTATTATGGGTAAAGGGGCTGCAGATGAAAGCAAGGTTTCTGTGTGTGACAAGTCTTTCTCCTCCCAGCTGGCCCTCTCCTCCTTCACCTTCTCGACTGGGTCCGACTGCATGTGTGCGAGGTGGACAGTTTGTTAGCAGATGTTCTAGGCACTGGAAATCCAAGCAAACATGAGAGCTTCTGGAACTTGGTAAGGATGCTATGCAGGCTGGGCCCCCATCCCTGTAACTTGTATTTTGCTGCTAGAGTGCTTGTAGGTTTCACTCACCAAGTTTCCTTACATTGAGGGCTCTTCAAGCCTGTGATTATGGAGGCACTCTTACATTTTCTCTGCTCCAGAGGAGGGCTTTTCTTCACTGTAAGAAGAATAATGCTTCATAGATTTTGCCGTGCAAAAAGAAATTTGCTTTCTGGGTAGGTCTAAGGATAAGTACACATGAAAATAATACCAAACTGGTTGGTAGGAGGTAAGAGTGGGGACAGAGTGGAATGTACATGAGTGGTTGGTCATCTTCTTTTCGTTTTTAATTTGTTTATTTTTAGAATTTTACTCTAAAGAGAAAAAAATTTCAAAACAAGATAATAGGGTAGGGGCTGGGGATTTAGCTCAGCGGCAAAGCGTCTGCCTGGCAAGCGCAAGGTCGTGAGTTCGGTTCCCGGTACCGGAGAAAAACAAAAACAAA